CTGAACTTCAGTCGCATGACTGAGCGGTTCAATAGGCGCAGATCTAAAATGGGACGCAACCCCCCATCCTTCTTCGGAACAATGAAGTAACGGCTGTAGAACCCGGAGTCTATCTCGTGCGGAGGGACCACCTCGATGGCCTCCTTCTTTACGAGAGTAACTACTTGTTCTAATACCAGAGCCTGCTCTGGACCCACTAGCGTGGGGGTGACCCCGTTGAATCGAGGCGGACGAGAACCAAACTGGATTCCGTAAGCAAGCCTCTCAGTGCCGCTACATTGCCGGGAGGTAACTTATAGATATGCTCGCTGGAGACCGCTGCGCCCTGGAACACCGGCAGGGTTGGCAGAACGATCTCCCGAGGGCACTGGGGGGGGAGACGGGCACCGTGTAATGTGGTGTGGACCTTTTGGTCGAGGACCTCTTAGCCTGAAGGATGGTCCGCAGATCCGGCTTAGGCTTCGAGGCCCCCAACCCAGAGCGCTGCTTCTGCCTCCGGTCCCGACGCGGGGGAACACGGGTGCAAACGCTCTGTTTTTGCGTCTCCCTATGTGAGGAGCTGGTACGCGGTGGGGACTGCTGCCACCCAGCAGCCCCCGAAGCTGAAATACAGTGAGGGAGGAACCGCTGAAACGCCGCCGCTTGTTTACGAGCCTCCTGGTCCCTGTCGACGACTGAATTGACAGAGTGTGAGTGTGTGAGTGAGAGTGTGAGTGAGTGTGGGTGAGCGAGTGTGAGTGAGTGTGTGTGAGCGCGAGTGTGTGAGTGCGTGTGTGTGAGTGTGAGCATGAGTGTGAGTGTGTGTGTGAGTATGTGTGTGTGTGCGTGCGCGCGCGTGTGAGTGCGTGTGTGCGAGTGTGAGAGTGTGTGCTTTTGCACATTCATGCTGCCTGCAGTGGCACTGCCTTTTGTCTTCATGTGTTTTCCTGCTTTTGTCCTCTGCAGACTTGCTTAGACATGACGGATACGTTCAAGCAGCAGAAGGGCAGACTGGTGCAGCAGGGCTTCAGTCCGGATACAGTCCAGCAGCCGCTCTTCTTCCTGGATGCTTCGCAGAAAACATACTCGCCCCTCACTGCACAGCTGTATGACGATATGGTTTCAGGAAAGATCCGACTCTAGATGCATTGTGGGAAATGCAGTGAAAAGCGTCCACATCACCAGACAGCTACAGTGATCCTTGTTTGTGTACTGCACAAATGTTTGTGGCATTTCAGGGCTGGTGTGTTTTTAGTGTTTTAGTCTCTACGGGCCACTGAGCCCACAAATAAACTGGAATAACTTTGTTAGGATTTCTTAACATTGATACAGAAAATGAACTAATATTACAATCAATACACTCTTAACCACCTCACTCAGCTTGTAACTTTTCACTCATCTTGTTATTAACGGTATAGATTTTATATTTATTTTTAAGAGTAGAGCAGCAGCTTTACTAGTGTTATTTGCTCTTGATAATTACGTAAGCTAAATAAACAAATAGAAACTATTTCTTCGTCTAAAAGTAAGGCTAATTAAGATCCCAGCTGCAGTATATGTGTGATAGAGTATTTCAAACACAAGGCTGATGTGTTTGTGCAGATCCACTGATGAGTGTCACATCTTCATTACACATGTTCACGCTTTTATATCAAACAGGTTCAGAAATGGTTTTATAATTGCGGTCATGAACGTCAGAGAGCAAAAATGGCCATTTCATTAATATGAGTATATGATTTATATATATATATATATATATATATATATATCGTTGTAGATTTAATCCTGGTCAGTGCATTGTGTCTGTTATTTGTTTGACTGTAGTACTGGTCACTGGAGATCCTTGTGGATTGTTCTGGCATGTTTGATAATGACGAAGTGTGACTGTTATTCTTTTGTTAGCATCTAAGTTACGTTGTAATAAAGTTAACTTTTTTTATTGTTCGGAAGATTTGTTAGATGATTGCGTTTGATTCAGTATTATTAATAACAAACTTGTAAAGGCAGTTGTTTACCACAAGGGGGCAGTGCTAACCTTACACATTTTGTGTATAAAAGTAAACAGAAATGTGATTTGTAATAAAGAACATATATCATATGTTGAGGTCTCACTCTCTCTCTGTGTGTGTGTGTGTGTGGCTCCTTAGTCAAGAACTGTCCCACAGCATACAGTCTTCGGGAACATTATTCAATAAGGAGGTGCATGTAAAATCTTCTGGAGGTGAACCGGACCTGTATTTGTTTATTTAAAATAATGAAAAAAATAAGTTTTGAAAAGGGAGTTCAACCAGTTGTTTCTTTGAGATTAGAGGTGTGATTAAAATGTTTTAAATATAGAGTTGAAGAGATGAGAACTCTTGAAGTTATTCTCGTTCAACAGCTGTAAGCGTGTTTGTGCAGTAGCGGGAATAATAAATGCCATCACTGACATTTTAATCTAGAAATTTAGACATTTAAAACAGCCTATTGTGTAATTCTTATATCCCCCTGAGCATCAGATTTTTTGTGTGAATTTTATTTATGTCATGACATTGGTTGTAGCATAAGAAACAAATGGAGAAAAATCATTAAAAAAAGGCATGTATAGGCAAAAACAACGTTTTATTTTTTCATTCACCAATCAGTTTTTAGGTTTCAGGCAATTTTTTTAGCCAAACTTTGTACAAAGCTGATTCTCAACTATGTTATGAAAGATATAACAGAATGATTTGATATACTACTGTACTTTATGCAATATGTGCGTAAAATGTCCATAAATTGGTTTTCCATTCTATACAATGTATCTATTCATTGCATTAGATTAGATTGCATATTAATGTGTTCTCGGGGCAAACCATAATGAAAAAAGAAGTGTTATAATGGGAGTAATAACTTTTTATAAGTAATATAATTTTTATAAGAGTATCTCAGGAATATTGATCTATAATTTCTTTCCCTATTGACTAATGCCTGATGTTTGTCCTGGTGTCCTCTACAGAAAACAAGCATGAAAATGATGCCCTGTTTCGTAACAAAAATTATATTCTGATTTGAGATGTTTATGACAAACAATTTGAAAATTAGCCAGGTTTAGATGATAATTAGAAAACATTATCACGTTTTTCTAAGAGTGATCAATTTGATCAATCTGTCAGTATCAGTCAAACTTAAAGAGCAAGAAGAAAGTGTTTATGTCTGAAAAGCTCTGATGTGCTCTGTACAGGACATCTAGTCTCAAATATAATGTCCTCTACAGAGGACTGAAGTCTTATGCCTGGGTTCCAGGAGGATATTATAAATTGTAAAAATACAGGAACAAATTTCATATATTTTTGAACTAATGTGTTTATACAATTTACAAGAACCACAAGCTCTTAAGGCTGTCACACATTCTGATCTTTATCACCGTTCCACTCAGAAGAATCTGTAAGGCATGTTTGAACATGACGCTAGGAAAACACATCCTCATCTACTGTCGGAAATGTGAAATGCATCCCTTCTGAACAAAATAAAAAACTGAACGACCTGAAGGGGAACATTAAACGCTGAGGCATACAAAGCGTTCAAACGTTTGATCAGTTTTTGCTTTGCCTGAGAATCGGACCCATGACTGCAATGCTGGACTGGTTGAGCTCAGTAGGAGCTTCATTCCTCTCACGTCTGATCACTTTCACACATTAAGTGCAGCAGCTACTGCTCTTTGACAGGTAGACCGGTGCGAGCGTCACGATTTGATAAATGACCTAGACCGAAGTTTAGGATCCTCCTTCATCCTCTCCTCCACAAGCTGTGCTCCTCCTGCTCTTCACTTCAGGACTTTATCTTACAGCTTTGCATTTCAGGGCAAAAACAGGAGCTGCTCTGATTTTCCATTCATCTCCTAAACTAAACTGACTTTAAAGGTTCGCTGGGTTAAAATCAAAGGAGGATCTAGCATGTCTCAAGGGGCTCTGAGGTGTTTAGTGGGATTTGTTGCTCTACTGGGAATTTTAGTGCTGAAAATCTCAGGAATTCATGGAAAAGCGACTGTTCATATGGATGGATCTCAGAGATGGGAAAAACCTGAGTCCCTGAGAGGGTGAGTCTTATGACACGCATCCAAACTAATGCTGCTTTTATTAGAATATAAGGCTGTGATATGTGGGCTTTCTGAGTGAGACATTTGCCGTTATTACAGAAGCATAGATGGTGTGATAGATATATGAACAGTTTTACACTGAACTTCTTATACTGAAGCTTGTATAATTATCGGTGTGCAGATTACCTCTTGTTGCTTTGTCTCATAGGCTTCTTTGTGCATTTATTAATGCAGGTGATTTTGATCTTTGTGTTTTTGCAGCCCTAATGTGTGTGGATCACGTCTGCAGTCCTACTGCTGTCCGGGCTGGGAGACTCTGCCTGCAGGCAACCGCTGTGTTGTGCGTAAGTCCAGATGTTCCTCACAGTTAGCGTCTCTCTGAATTCCATTGGCTTAAGCTTTATGGTTTTTTTTATTCCAATAAGGAAATCCTAGGAAGCATGTGTAGTGAATTAAAGCTTTGTAGAAATGAAGAAGGTGCTTCCAGTTTTTCTTCTTTTTAATATCACTTGCTTTGGTTAGGTTAGGAAACTTTATTAATCCCCAAAAGGGAACTCATTTGCCACCATTGTACACATGTACACCCAGAGCAGTGGGCAGTCATATTGCTGTGGTGCCCGGGGAGCAGTTGGGGGTTCGGTTCTTGCTCAAGGGTCTCACCTCAGTTGTGGTATTGAGGGTGGAAGAGAGCGCTGGTTATTCACTCCCCCACTGACAATTCCTGCCGGACCTGAGACTCGAACCCACAACCTTTGGGTTACAAGTCCGACTCTCTAACCATTAGACCATGACTACCCCATACAATGAACACAATGTGACGATTCTCTCTGACTAATCAGTGATCTGCAGTGTTTACACGTCACATTTTAGTATCGGTACTTGAAACCTCAACCGAGGTGGTACTATTTAATGGCACTTTTCCACTGCATGGTACGGCTCGGTACTGGTACTAAAATGTGACGTGTAAACACTGCAGATCACTGATTGGTCAGAGAGGATCGTCATTACCAGCGTCATTGGATTTGCTACATGAGACACCAAACCCGCTAGCAGCAACGACTTAAAAAACTTGCTTTAAAAAAAAATAACAATGAAATATGAAAAAATAATAATAATAATGGCCCCTGTGTCGCGCATTTCCTTTTAAATTTTATATTTTTTTTTATTTTTTATTTACGTGCGTTTGTGTCATGCGTTTACAATGATGTCACAGCAGTAGAGGCAACGCAACTAGTCTATATTCCCACCCACTTTGAAGCGATACTAACTGCAGTGGAAAAGCGAAGCGAGCAGAGTAGAGCCGTGCCGTGCCGAGTCGTACCATGCAGTGGAAAAGCGCCATTAGTGTTCATATAAAAAAAGTCAATAATTTTACCCTCCCTCGTAGGACAAGTCACCATTTGCTTAAAAGAGGGCAAGGTAGCAGAGAGTGAACTGTGGTTAAATTCCCCATTAATTATAAACACTGCTTCGGGAAAAGAGCATTGCATATCATGGTTTAATCTCAAAATTGTTTCCATAGCCATCCTTCCATTGCCTGACGGAGGAATATATACCACTTGTACAATTACATGACAAAAACTCTCTGGGCAAAAAATACAGTCGGCAACTTACCACAAGCAGTTTAATATTCTGGTCACAAATAGTCTCTTTCACTGTAACATGGCCAGGATCATACCACTGATCATTCACATAGAGGCACAAATATGAAGGTAAAAGAGTAGCAAAACACGAGAGCTTGTTGATTTGAATGTGAGAACTTGTCAATTAGTATTCGTTGCAGATTAATAGTTACAAATGTGTAAAATAACATTCACATAAACAAGATGACAGACACAAATGTGTACAACATACTGTATTTACTTTTGCACTTTACTTCAGTTTCGCTGCACAACCACTAGTCGGCACTTACAACCTCTCAGATCTGGCAGCACAACTTCAAATCTCAGAGCTTTGACTTTTGCTACTCCTTTAGCGATATTCCTGTAGCAAAACTCACTTGTGCACTTGTACATGCAGATGTGAGAGAGCAGATCTGGGAGTGGGGCTGGGGTGGGAATGAAGCCATTTTATTGGTCCATGCCTGACTAATAAAATCGGATGGTTTCTTTGCATGATGATGTCATGCAACAGCGGCAGTCAGTGTGCCCTTTCATAATTCAGTGTTGTCCTCAGTTTCTTCTGTAAATGAATTAGAAAGGTAGACTTGAGGTAAAAGACCATACAAGAACATGAAAAACCAACAGTTGTCTGGTGATGCACTGTGGACCTGGATAAACATCAGTTATCAAACTATTATGACATTTGACACATCAAACTATTATGTCATGGTCCTATACATAAGTATTTCTATGATTAAACGCTGGCCTATTCCATATAAGCAAAATTTTAGATTAAAAACAACTTCACGTGCAAAGTATAAAGAAGGCTTCACACTCACACTCTCACACTCACACTCACACTCACACACAC